GCCGAATATACGAAGCTATATACATGCGGCACCTTATACACATTTGAGTAGATATAACAAGCAATGATCAAATTTTTTATGCAAGAATGTACAATGCAAAGATAGGTGCTGCACATCTTTCATGGCACACACTTATGCACTTGTACGTGCCTTTTTTGAAATATCTGCTAGGGGAGAGGGAAACTGTCCCCCGGCATTGTTTACTAGTCCTGCTATAGGCCTCTGCTGCAGTATTTCGCCCATGACCTGTTTGACCCTGTCTTCCTCGCGGATATCGCACGTGTGCCATGACACAATATCATTACCATTATCATCGGCGATTTCCTTGGCGGTTTTTTCCAATTTATTCTGGCTGCGTCTGACCTGATCAGACCCAAAGGATGTAGCAAGACTGAAAACACGTGCAATAAATTCGCAACAACGCGGGGGACACTTCAAGCAGGGCTTCTTTGATTGATCACTCTTGTTCTATTGTGACTCGCCTATCTATGTCGCTTGCAAGTAATTGGTAAATTGCCCGTATAAATTCGATAGATATATACGGAAGAGTCCCGCATACAAACGGACAAAGTAACACTCACAATCATCTTTTGTCTGTAATTAATGTTCATATTCTACAAGATGGAGTGTGTGATATGTGCATATACATATGTGACTACAAAGTCCTAGGGACGACAGTGAGAAGTACAATCTACTACCTGCACACGTGTCGAGACTTACTTACCAGCGAAACAGAAGCCCGACAGAAGCCAGCTCGTGCGCAATGCACCTTCCGATGCCAGACCCACCGCCAGTGACAATAAACCACTTTGACACAAACAGCCCTGGACGATAAATACTTGCGAAAGTCATATTTCCAATGTGTACCTGTTCGCCGATGTGTACCTTGGGTGTTCATCAACGCATGTCAATCCGGTATTAAATATGTATTATTGTGTACATTTTTAGTGATTTTAAAAACCTGTGTGATTAATGTAAATTTTTGTACAGTATGTACATTCAATTTAGGATATCTTGAATATGCCGGGAGCCCAGGATCAAGGGCCAAGGCCAAATGGCAGTACTAAAATAGTCTTGATTATGCCGGGAGCCCGGGATACATCAAGCTCATCACCCAATGGACAGTACTAAAATAGACCAACTTCAACTTCATTTCTGATTGGCTATAAAATAAGTATTACTATGGTGCTCGCGTATAGATAACAGCTGATAGATAAATAACCCCTTCATGCAAGTTGCTCTTTCTCGATTTTTTGTGTGAAAGAATTTGAAATTGAAAATCTCGACAACCAATGGGGTTTGTCTGGATGAGACCTGTCCAAAACTGCAATTTAAAGAGGAGGCAAAATTTGGGTGTGGCAAAAATTTCAGGTCTGGCACAAAATACTTGTGTGCCGGCGAATTCTACTTGTGTCTTGCATATTTCACTCACATTTGATCCGGAAAACTTATCCTTCAGACGTTAGTCCGATCAGCCATATTTTGTTCTTTCTTCTTTCTCTCTAGAGAGAGAGAGGGTCATGAAATATTACCACACTTTTAAAAATACATAATCGAACCCATTATTACACATAGTTTATTTCTTGCATCAATCGAAAGATAAAGATCATTTTGCAATCAATCGGCACATTCTCCAGTGAGTTGCGCGTACATATTTTCCGGTACCCTCCGATGGAAGGTATATTTCTTCTTGGCAAACTCAGCAATGTGGTAATGGAGCCTTTTATCGTAGCAGTCTATATATCTATAACAACCCCTGACTGGCAAAGCGTCTGATCGTGGCAAGCGGCACTGTGTCCAATTGTTTTGGTACACTTTTCATAGGATCTTCAATATGGAAAAATAATAATAACCATTCATATGTAGGATTATTAGATAATAATTTTATGTATACAGATTGACCACTAACAAAATATACATCTGCAGTCGAGTTATAGAACACAAATATATAGTTCAATACTGAGAACTCGTGATTTGGGAAAACGACAAAAATTTGGCCGAGTGATATTTCTAATTTTTATTTTATTTTTCGAGTCCAATATGAAAATTTGAACCGAGTGATAATTATCTTCTGGAAATTCTGAGTCGATTGCCGTGTCTATTTATTTAAAACGCCAGGATCGGATAAATATTTTCGAACCTATGCAATATGCATAGCCTAAAATACAGATTTTAGAGGGCTCCATATGACCTATGGTCCTCCCAACTTGGGGGTCGCGAGGCGGTTACTTATACAGTCAGACATGGTTATTAGACCAGTCTAGTCGTGTGACCTGTGATTGGTCGAGAGGTCATGGCTCAGTTTGACTGTAATCATCTCGTACTCATAGTGTTGTTTTTATTTCAAAACAACATTCAAACATGTCTCAATGATTGTATCATCGCCTTCCTTAAGGTTTTTTCTAGGGAAAGAAGTTTGTCATTACTTTTGAGTCTTTGCTTCCATTATGAGTCTATCGCGTATTCGCGTCCTCGGCGCTAACCTCTCTATCTGATAGAAACTCAACCATTATATCCAACAAATGTTTGTGATAACCTGTCTCGATGACATATATAACCCCGGCATCCATAGGCTGATATACCGCTGTACTGTTCTTAGGCAAGAGTACGAAATGTGCCCCAACTCTTTCCTCCTCTATATATGTACCATATTTATCCATCACCAGGCAAATCGGTTCTTTTGTTCGCTTACGTAGTGTTTGAGGAATTCTTCAGTGAACCACCACTCTTGAATTGTAGAATCATTCCATGAGTTTTTTGGTCTATGTATGGGTAATGGTGGATCCACTCCTTATTTTAAACATCTGGGATTCTTATATGCGCCTATGACCCCTAAAGGGACTTTATGACTTCCCGAAGCATTTGTCCATACCATCAGTATCACTCCATCCTTTTCACTGCTTAGCTCATCAAATTTGGTCAGACTGTACGCTAGTGCACCATAAAGCTAAACCTCTGTCATCAATTTTTCTTGTGAAGATTTTTTTTGAATATGCCGGTCCCACATAATTTACAAAAAATATGAAGATGGCTACATATATCTGCCTATATATCATAGATTGTAACGGACATAACGTTAAAGTCCGATCTTGAAATCGACAGTATAAGTGGTGGCATCAACAGCACATCTACATTTCCTTTAACAATACATTAGACAAGAAAAGATAGCTGAATGGTAGCAAGTCGAGTAAATAAAGATAAGTTGACAAAAGTGATCATGTTGCATGAATACATTATATA